TTCTTGTTCTTTCTTTTGTTAATGTATTGTATCATGTTGATTGATTCGCGGATGTTGAACCAGCCTTGCAGCCCAGGGATAAATCCCACTTGGTCATGGTGAATAATCCTTTTAATGTACTGTTGGATCCACTTGGCTAGTATTTTGGTGAGAATTTTTGCACCCATGTTCATCAAGGATGAACACTTTGTGTTGGGAGATTTTTGATGACTGCTTCAATTTCCTTAGTGGTTATACGTCTGTTCAGGTTTTCTATTTCTTCCTGGTTCAGTTTTGGTAGTTGATACATCTCTAAGAATGCATCCATTTCTTCCAGGTTATCTAATTTGCTGGCATAGAGTTGCTCATAATATGTTTTTATAATTGTTTGTATTTCTTTAGTGTTGGTTGTGCTCTCTCCTCTTTCTGTTCTTTTAGTTTCTATTTCATTGATTTCTGCTCTGATCTTTATTATTTCTCTTCTCCTGCTGGGTTTAGGCTTTATTTGCTGTTCTTTCTCCAGCTCCTTTAGGTGTAGGGTTAGGTTGTGCATTTGAGACCTTTCTTTTTCTTGAGTAAGGCTTGTATTGCTATATACTTTCCTCTTAGGACTGCCTTTGCTGTATCCCAAAGATTTTGAACAGTTGTGTTTTCATTCTCATTGGTTTCCATGAATTTTTTTAATTCTTCTTTAATTTCCTGGTTGACCCATTCATTCTTTAGTAGGATGCTCTTTAACCTCCATGTATTTGAGTTCTTTCCAACTTTCCTCTTGTGATTGAGTTCTAGTTTCAAAGCACTGTGGTCTGAAAATAGGCAGGGAATGATCCCAATCTTTTGGTACTGGTTCAGACCTGATTTGTGACCTAGGATGTGATCTATTCTGGAGAATGTTCCATGGGCATTAGAGAAGAATGTGTATTCTGTTGCTTTGGGATGGAATGTTCTGAATATATCTGTGAAGTCCATTTGGTCCAGTGTGTCATTTAAAGCCTTTATTTCCTTGTTGATCTTCTGCTTAGACGATCTGTCCATTTCAGTGAGCCCCCTCACTGTTAGGGGTCCCCCACTATTATTGTATTGCTGTCAATGTGTTTCTTTGCTTTTGTTATTAATTGCCTTATATAATTGGCTGCTGCCATGTTAGGGGCATAGATATTTACAGTTGTTAGATCTTCTTGTTGGATAGACCCTTTAAGTAGGATAGAGTGTCCTTCCTCATCTCTTATTACAGTCTTTGGTTTAAAATCTAATTTCTCTGATATAAGGATTGCCACCCCAGCTTTCTTTTGGTGTCCATTAGCATGGTAAATGGTTTTCCACCCCCTCACTTTCAATCTGGGGGTGTCTTTGGGTCTAAAATGAGTCTCTTGCAGACAGCATATCGATGGGTCTTGTTTTTTAATCCAATCTGATAGCCTGTGTCTTTTGATTGGGGCATTTAGCCCATTTACATTCAGGGTAACTACTGAAAGATAGGAATTTAGTGCCATTGTATTGCCTGTAAGGTGACTGTTACTGTATATTGTCTCTGTTCCTTTCTGGTCTATGTTAGTTTTAGGCTCTCTCTTTGCTTAGAGGACCCCTTTTAAGATTTCTTGTAGGGCTGGTTTCATGTTTGCAAATTCCTTTAGTTTTTGTTTGTCCTGGAAGCTTTTTATCTCTCCTTCTATTTTCAATGACAGCCTAGCTGGATATAGTATTCTTGGCTGCATATTTTTCTCGTTTAGTGCTCTAAATATATCATATCATGCCAGTCTTTTCTGGCCTGCCAGGTCTCTGTGGATAGGTCTTTGCCAATTTAATGTTTCTACCATTGTAGGTTACATATCTCTTCTCCCAAGCTGCTTTCAGGATTTTCTCTTTGTCTCTGAGACTCGTAAGTTTTACTATTAGATGTCGGGGTGACCTATTCTTATTGATTTTGAGAGGGGTTCTCTGTGCTTCCTGGATTTTGATGCCTGTTTCCTTCCCCAAATTAGGGAAGTTCTCTGCTATAATTTGCTCCATTATACCTTCTGCCCCTCTCTCTCTTTCTTCTTCTTCTGGGATCCCAATTATTCTAATGTTGTTTCATCTTATGGTATCGCTTATCTCTCGAATTCTGCCCTCGTGATCCAGTAGTTGTTTATCTCTCTTTTTCTCAGCTTCTTTATTTTCCATCATTTGGTCTTCTATATCACTGATTCTCTCTTCTGCCTCATTTATCCTAGCAGTTAGCACACCCATATTTGATTGCACCTCATTAATAGCATTTTTTATTTCAACTTGGTTAGATGTTAGTTCTTTTACTTCTCCAGAAAGGGTTTCTCTAATAACTTCCATGCTTTTTTCAAGCCCAGCTAGTATCTTTAAAGTGATGAGTCTGAACTCTAGATCTGACATTGTACTAATGTCCGTATTGAGTAGGTCCCTGGCAGTCGGTACTACCTCTTGTTCTTTTTGTTGAGGTGATTTTTTCCATCTTGTCAGTTTGTCCAGAGGAGAACAGATAAATGAGAGAAGAAAATGCTAATGGGGTAACAATGTCCCCAGAAAATATACTCTAAACAAATCAGAAAAGACCTGAAATGGGGGCAAAGAAAGGGAAAGAAAGAAAAAAGAAAAAGAAAAAAGAAGAAAAAGATAAAAACAAACAAAAACAGAACAAAACAAAAAAAACAGAATGTGATCAAATATGATCAGGCTGGTGCATAGAGCAGTGCCACACACTAGATTTGGGGTGTATTTTGGTCTGTTAGAAGAAAGTGCCTCCCAAAATTTTAAAGAAAGAAAAACTTATATATGTACAAAAGTAAGGGTTAATACGATGAAGGGATGGAATATGACTGTAACGATGAAAATCATAAAAAATTTTACAAAATGAATTATAAGTTGCTTGAAAAAAGAAAGAAGAGGATTTAAGAAGAAAAAAAGGGAGAGACTGTGATCAGGCAGGAGAGTAGAACAAAACCATACACAATAGATTTAGAGTATATTTTGATCTGTTAGAAGAAACTGTATCTCAAAATTTTAAAGACAGAACAACTTATATTTATATGCCAAAAATAACAGTAACTACTATGAAGGGATAGAATATGACTCTAAAAATGAAAAATAAAAATGTTTTTTAAAAAAGGGATTGATAAGATGTTGGTTGAAAAAGGGAAAAAGAAAAATTCAAATGAAAAAATTAACTTTGAAAGACTACAGAATCATGGTAAAAAAGCCATGGATTCTATGTGCAGTATTCCCCTAGCGCTGGAGTTCTGCCCTTCTCATTGATCAGTAAACTTGGTCTTGGCTGGCTGTTCTGGTTGATCTTCTGAGGGAGGGGCCTGTTGCCGTGGTTCCCAAAAGTCTTTGCTGGAGGCGGAATTGCCCCGCCCTTGCCAGTCTGGGCTAAGTAATCTGCCCGGGTTTGCTCTCGGGAGCTTTTGTTCCCTGCAAGCTTTCTGTACAGCTTTGGAGGATGGGAGTGAAAATGGTGGCCTCTCAATCTCTGCCCTGGAGGAGCCGAGAACTCGGGGCCCCGCTCCTCAGTGAGCCCCCAGAGAAAAGCAGTCAGTCACTCCCATCTCCCCAGTCTCCGGTCGCACTCTGTGCTCACCCGGCCTGTGACCAAGCGTTTCTATCTCTGGCACCCAGCCCCGTGTGGAGTCTCCAAAGCCAGCAGATCCCTGCGGTGCGCTCCCGCGTGGCTCCTCCCGGGGAAGAAGGTGAGTCTCCCCGGATCTGCTGCTTGTTGGGTCCCTGCTGGAGGAGCAGTGGCCCGACGGTGCCGCAGATCCCGGTTTATGGCAACCCTAAGCTGAGAGCCCACTCCTCGGTTCCGACTCTGCGGCCAGCTTCCCCACTCCGATCCCTGGGAGCTCTGCTGCACTCAGGCGCCCCCGGTCTTTCTGTGACCCCAAGGGTCCTGAGACCACACTGTCCCATGAGGGTTCCATCCCCTGTTTAGCCACTGGAGCGACGTCCCTCAGCGGAGCCAACTTCTAAACGTTCCAATTCTGTGCTCCATGGTTCTATCACTTGCCAGAAGTGGCTGACGGAGGCCCCTCCCCCGCCATCTATTCCCCCGAATATTGCCTCGGATTCACTTCTCCGCACGTCCTCCCTTCCAGAAAATGGTCGCTTTTCTGTTCAGAGAGTTGCTGCTATTCTTTTCTTCGATCTCCTGTTGAATTTGTAGGTGTTCAGAATGGTATGATCCCTATCCAGCTGAATTCCTGGGACCAGACGAAATCCAGGTCTCCTACTCCTCTGCCATCTTGCTCCACGCCCCCCCCCCCCACCATAGGTGTCAGTCTTAAAAGCTGGAGTACCCAGTGTAGAGTACAGACCCCTTCTTCCTCGGAGAGAAGCTCAGGATTTTGCATTCTTTCTAGATGGTGGATTATTTCGCCAGCAGTGAGGTTTATGGTGAGGTTGTGTCCCAGCCTCTCCTACCCACTTTGACAGTTTCCCTCTCATTTGCCCTGTGTAAAGGGGCTGCTCTGCTAGTTTTTAGGGTTTTTTCAGAGGAAACTGGTCTATATATCTGTAGATTCAGTGTGTCCATGAGAGTAGGTGAGTTCTGGATATTCCTACGTCACCATCTTGAACCAGAACCCAGCCAGTTCCTTATAATAAATCTCTATATAGCCTACTGTTCTGTTCCTCTGGAGAAACCTGACTAATACAGCCCCTCACTGGAACTTTCTGAGCCATTTCCCCTTCACCTTGCTTGTCTACCATCAGAGGGTCATTGTAAGACTACGATAGCTGAGGCACATGGATGGCACAGTCAGTTAAGCGTCTGACTCTTGGTTTTGGCTCAGGTCTTGATCTCAGGGTTGTGAGATCGAGGCCCACATCAGGCTCCATGCTCAGTGTGAGTCTGCTTGAGATTCTCTCTCTCCCTCTCCCTCTGCCCCTCCCCCTGCTTTCACACATGCTCTCCCTCTCTCTCTCAAATAAATAAATCTTTTTTAACAAATAAAACTACAATGACGTAAGAGGACAGAAATCAGGACGACTAAGGCATATCCTAAGCCACATACCTCCATTGGCAACATTGAACTTCACTCCAAACTCTCCCCCTGGTCCTCCAGGGCAATGGCTGGCTGTTAGGATGATTCCACCAGCTGCCTTGATCTTCCTGATGATGCAGGAAACAGCAGGTGTCGACAAGATGCCATTCTGTCCAATAATCAGTCGTCCAATCTAGATCAGCCAAAAAAAAAAAAAAAATCAATCCAGTTACATGGGATCAGAGGCATTTCAATGGGAAGTGCCCCAGGCTCTGTTAACACACAGTAAATCACTTGACAAAAGGAACTGAGTGGGCTTCAGGTTAAGGGATGAAGGAGAGCTCTGGCATTGTCTTTCCAACACCTTTGGGGCACCCACATCTAGCAGTCAATTATCAAGCTGCAAACTGGATCTGCCTCATTGATATTTAGTAGTTTGAAACATCCGCTTTTGATGACCAAAAGGTTAGCTTAAACTACACAAGACGTTCTTAGTTTGTTACTGGCTTAGAAACTCTACATGTGAACATGCTAGAAATTATAAGAAAAAAGAAATGGAGTGCTTCTCTGCTTCACCCCCTTCCTCTCTCTTCCTCAGGACAAGCTCATACCGGAGGGCCCTGGCTTACTATAGCCTCGTCATACAGCGGGTGTATTTAACTGCCCTCAGAATGACCACTCTTATGAAGACAAGAATTTTATTTCCGCCACTGACAACACGTGCTGGAGACACCAGAAAAAACTCTCCAGTCATTCCAGGCAGAGATCTGGAGGTCATCCATGGGTGTGGTCAGAGTCTTTCTAGAGCTACAAAATTGACTTTAAAAAAGAAAGCCACACAGCCCTGCACAGTATTACTCAGTATGCTTTGTCTTAAAATAGAGACCAATGTCATCCAATCCAGTGTTCTCAAATGTTACGACAATTCAGAATCCGAATGAAGCCTTACAATTACCAATACTCAGACTGCATCTCAGACTAATTATATTGGAATATCTGGGGGTAGAATCAAGGCTTCATAGTCTTTAAAGCTCTACAGGTGATTTCCACGTTCAGCCAAGCTTGGTGATCAAATCCCCTTGTTAAGAATCAGCAGCACGGCCATCACCTATGAGCTTGGTAGAAATGCAGAACCTCAAGATCCACTCAAGACCCACTGAGGAAGAATCAATAAGTACCTTAACAAGATCCCCTTCCCCCTTCCAGCTAATTCATTTGTCCATTAAAATGTGAGAAGTAGTGCTGTAATCCCACAAGCCAAGTTAAGCTCTAGCATCCAGCTCAACACCAAAATTACTCTGGCACCAACTACACCATTGCTAGAAGTAGGTACTGACCAAATATGAAAATGAGGAAGATACAGGAAAAAAATGTACAAAGAGCAAACACAAGAGCTCCAAGAACAAAGCAGTCCTGGGATGATTTAGCATGGAAAGACCCACAACATCCCCAGAGTACATATTTTCAAGTGGAAGAGGCAGTTTATAAACAAATAAGCCTAATAATAATATTTACTAGTTCGATATGTTTTGGGAAGGAAATCGGCAGGGTTCTGTGAAAGAGAATAATGGGGTGTCAATTTTAATAATAAAAATAAACATGATAATAAAATAATAGCTAAGGGAGCTTGGATTTTTATCTTAAGTGCAATGGGAATTCACTGAAGAGCTTTAAGCAGTGGAAGTGATGTGATATCATTTACATTTTAAAAGATCACAGAAATGAGTAGTCCAAATGATCTTTTCAGAAAGCAAGTCATATCATGTCAGCAAAATATGTCAATGACAAACCCAAGGTAAAGCCAAAGTCATCATCATATTCTATAAGGCCCTGCATGACCTGACCCCCAGTACCTGACATCCTCTACTTCCCTCTCTCCTCAGCTCCAGCCACATTGGTTGGTTTACTGTTCCTCAAACACATCAAGCGTGATCAGGGCCTTTGCATTTGCTCTTTCCTCTGCTTTGGACACTCTTACCCAGATATTCATATGCCTCCTTCTCCTATCCTTTGGGTTTCTGTCCCAATGTCAACTACTCAGAGATAGCACCATTGGCTGACCAATATAACACAACACCCACACATCCCTAATTTTCCTATTTTCCTCTCTTTCCTTTACCCTGTTTTAATCTTCTGTATTACACATATTGCCACCTAATATTTTCCATATTATTCGTTTACTTATTTCCCAGCTATACAGAAGCTCTAAGGGCTTTGTTTTATCCACTGTTATATTTTGAGAACCTAGAACAAATCTAGTCTGTAGTAAGATCACAATAAATACGTTGAATGAATTCACCGAAAAAATGAATGAATGGCTGCTATGTGAGAAATGCATTAGAGTGACAAGAGCCAAAAGAGGAAGATCAGATGGAAGAATATTACAGTGGAGCCGAGTGTGGACAGTGTCTTGGACTAGGCTAGAGGCAGAAGAAACGAAGAGAAGGGATTCTATTTGATACTCCTTTTTGGAAGGAGAATGAAAAGAACACATAGTTAGAATGAAATATAAAAGAGAGGAACTCTGGTAGCCAGCCTTCAAGATGGCCCCCAATGATCCTTGCCTTCTGGTATTTGTGCCTTCGTGCAGTCCCCTCTGAATAAGTCCCACACTGAATAAGGCAGAACTGGTGATTAGTAGAACACTGTAGAACTGAGAGTGCATGACTTCCAAGGTGAGACCATAAATGACAGTGTTGCTTCTACCTTGCTGTCTTGGATTATTGACTCTGAGGGAGACCAGCCACTCTGTCATGAAGACATGCAAGGAGCCCTGCATAGGCACCCAAAGGGAGAGGAACTGAGGTCTACCAACAGCCAGCAGCAACTTGCTAGCTGTGTGAGTGGGCCATCTTGCAATGGATCCTCCAGTTGCACCAAACGTTCATATGACAAAGCCCCCACCAACATGTGACTGTGACTTCATGAGAGTCCCCAGGTCAGAACAACCTATCTCCTGTGAGTAAAATAAATATTCGTTGCCATGTTAAGACATAAGTTTTGTCATAATTTCTTGCACAGCAATGAACAACTAATACAAGGGCAGTGAGGAAAAGAATCTACTCCCAGATTTCTACCTTTAATAACTTAAGGGATGATGGTGTCATTTGTCAAGATGGGAAAGACATTGGACAATAATTATACTCATATTGTTATCCAGAGCCATAATAAATTATGTTCCACATGCTCTTGTTAAAATGTATTTAGTCATTCAACTCATCTTATTGAGGATTACCATGAAAGAGGCGATGTCGAAGACCCTACAGATACAGCAATAAATATGGTTTAGTCACTGCCCTCAAGGAATAAGTCTGTAGGTTCATGAATCTGAAAAATATTTGTACCTTTGTTCATATTTTTCTGTCTCCCCATTTTTAAGAATTGCTTGTAAAGAAACAACCTTTGAACATGTATCATATGATCTCACTGATATGAGGAATTCTTAATCGCAGGAATCAAACTGAGGGTTGTTGGAGTGGGGGGTGGGGTGGGAGGGATGGGGTGACTGGGTGATAGACACTGGGGAGGGTATGTGCTCTGGTAAGCGCTGTGAATTGTGCAAGACTGTTGAATCTCAGATCTGTACCTCTGAAACAAATAATGCAATATATGTTAAGAAAAAAAAAAAAGAAGAAGAAGGTAGCGGGAGGGGAAGAATGAAGCGGGGGAAATCGGAGGGGTAGACGAACCATGAGAGACGATGGACTCTGAAAAACAAACAGGGCTCTAGAGGGGAGGGGGATGGGAGGATGGGTTAGCCTGGTGGTGGGTATTGAGGAGGGCACATTCTGCATGGAGCACTGGGTGTTGTGCACAAACAATGAATCATGGAACACTTCATCTAAAACTAATGATGTAATGTATGGGGATTAACATAAGAATAAAAAAAAAAAAGAAAAAAAGAAACAACCTTTGAAGGGGGAAGGTGGGGGGGCCGGGGTGGCTCAGTCGGTTAAGCAGCTGACTCTTGATTTCAGTTCAGGTCTTGATCTCAAGATTGTGAGTTCAAGCTCCATGTTAGGCTCCACTGGAGCCTACTTAAAAAAAAACACACACACACACAATGTAAAGTTATATTCGCTTTGGGGCTAGGACTTGGAAAAAATGTAGAAATAAATATATACAATTTATTTATCAAGTAGTTGAGATTATAGACCAACTTTTTATCTTAACTACATTTCAGTTATTTCTTGTTTGAAAAGGTAATATATATTCTGTTTAAGAAGGTTAATGTGGGCGCCTGGGTGGCTCAGTTGGTTAAGCGACTGCCTTCAGCTCAGGTCGTGATCCTGGAGTCCTAGGATCGAGTCCCACATCAGGCTCCCCACTCAGTGGGGAGTCTGCTTCTCCCTCTGACCCTCTCCCCTCTCATGCTCTCTCTCACTCTCTCAAATAAATAAATAAAATCTTTAAAAAAAAAAAAAAAGAAGGTTAATGTGAGGGGCACCTGGGTGGCTCAGTCGTTAAGCGTCTGCCTTCAGCTCAGGTCATGATCCCAGGGTCCTGGGATCGAGCCCCGCATCGGGCTTCCTGCTCGAGCCCCACATCGGGCTCCCTGCTCGGCAGGAGGCCTGCTTCTCCCTCTCCCACTCTGTCTCTCACTGTGTTCCCTCTCTCACTGTGTCTGTCTCTGTTAAATAAATAAAAATCTTTAAAAAAAAAAAAAGGTTAATGTGAGAAAATATACTTGAAAAAAAATGCCAACCTTTAACATTTTGGTTATAATTGGAGGATTAACAGAAGATTAAATTCTAGTTATCTGGAAATTTTACCTATGAAGGTGTGCTCATTAGCCCACCACTACCAGAAAAAAGAGGTAATACTGAACACTGTATATAAATTTAATTGCGGGACATCTCAGGCATGATAAGGGCTAGAGGAGCTGCCTGAGAGCAAGTGATAGAGCTTCTAAAGTTAGACATGAAAAACCATGAAGATATTTGTATCCCTTGCAAATGCTCCCTAAAAGAGAATTTGAGCAGAGAATAATTTTAAGAATCAAGCAGGTAGAATGACCTATTCTGTGAATACTGATCAGCCTTCTTCCCCTGTAGCCACTCCTGTCATTGACCAATGGGTTCAGGAAAAAAGTGATCATGGTGGCAAGGAGGGAGGTTATACATGGACTCAGCAACATGGATTTCCTCTCACCAAGGCCAGCCTGGCTACAGCCACCAGTGGGCACCCAACAGA